GTTGTTTTTATAGATTGTCCCTGTAAATTTCTGTTGTAGATCACTCTTGAGGTCTTTCTCCTTTTATAGAAACCCTCTTAATATTTCTTGCATGGCCGGGTCAGTGGTCACATATTCTTTCAGTTTCTGCCTGTCTTGGAAGCTCTGCATCTCTCCATCCATTTTAAATGATAGCCTTGCCAGATAAAGTATTCTTGGCTGCATGTTCTTCTCCTTTAGTACCCTGAATATGTCCTTCCAGCTCTTTCTGGCTTGCCAGGTCTCTGTGGATAGGTCTGACGTTATTCTGATGTTCCTCCCTCTGTACGTAAGGAATCTCTTCCCCCTAACTGCCCTTAAGATGGTTTCCTTGGTTCTAAGATTTGCGAGTTTTACTATTACGTGCTGAGGTGTTGGCCTGTTTTCTTTGATCTTGGGAGGGGTCCTCTCTGCCTCTAGGATATGAATGTTTCATTCCCCAGATTAGGGAAGTTCTCAGCTACGATTTGCTCAAATATATCTTCTGGTCTCTCTCTCTTTTCACCCCCTCCAGGATTCCAATAATTCTGACATTGGAACACTTCATGGTGTCACTTATATCTCTGATCCTATTTTCATGGATTCTGAGTTGTTTTTCCTGGCCTCTTCTTTTCCCTTTTTATCTATTAAATGGTCTTCCAGGTCACTAGTTCGTTCTTCTGCCTCACTTACCCTAGCTTTTAGATTATCTAGATTGGATTGGATCTCATTGATAGCATTTTTAAGTTCTGCCAATTCAGTTTTCATTTCTGCCCTTAGAGACTCTATGTTGCCATTAATTGATTTCTCCATTCTAGCTATTGTCTTCACAGTTGCTAGCCTGAATTCTATTTCTGACATCTTGGTTATATCTGTATCCATTTGTAAATCTGCAGCATAAGTCATAATCTCTGAGTCTTTCCTATTTTGGGGGTTCCTCCTCCTAGTCGTTCTGTTGATGGGTGTTTGAGGGAATGTATAGAGTCCAAATTATTGACCACAACCCAAGCAAGATGTACCTGTTTTCAAGGGACCTTAGGGTTGCTGGCTTCTTGTTTTCCCAGCCTGTCTTCTGGGGGAGGGGCCTGCCACACTGTTACTCAGGCAACCCTGTTTGGGCAGAGTTGCCTGCCCCCTGTGGCTGGGGATGGGCTCAGTGAAAACCGGTTTTTCAGGGCCTTTGCTCTCTGGTGGCTTTGCCTGGTGGCTTTCCATGTCTCTTCCTAGAGTCAGAGCAGAAGAGACCATTTCCAACCCTCTGCCTCAGAACAGAGAGATTGCAGTCTGTTCTTCAGTGAACTCTCCAGGCCACACTATCTCTGTTTCTGTCTGTGCTGCTATAAACTGCAGCATCCTGGGTTGTGCGCCCCTGTGCAGTGCTTGCAGTCTTTCCTCCAGGTCGGGCTTGTTTCTGCCCTTTGTGCTTCTAAAACCACCAGCCACCCCCAATTTGCATGTGGGGCCCCACTGCTCCAGTTTCTGTCAGGGGGGCTGCCCTAAAGTCCTTTCCCCACCGCTACTGGTCTGTGAGTCTGTGCCCTGTCCCCAGTGTGGGAGGCTATCGCTCACCAGTGGTGTAGTATCTGGCTAGATTGGCTCCCTCCTACTGCCATTTATTCTCCAATATCTGCCCGGGGAATCACGGCTCACTGCTTTATACCTTGAAACCAACTGCCTGCGATATTCTGTTTGTGGAGATCCAGATCTATCTTCTTACATCTCAGGCTGATTTCGTGGGTGTTCCGAGTGGTCTGGTAGATATCCAGCTCAATTCTAAGGACCAGTTGGAATAGGGTCCCCTACTCCTCCACCATCTTTTCCTGTCTGTATTCATCTTTTCTGATGGCTGAGTAATATTCCATTGTATATATGGACCACATCTTTATCCAATCATCTGTTGAAGGGCATCTTGGCTCTTTCCATGGTTTGGCTATTGTGGACATTGCTGCTATGAACATTGGGGTGCAGGTGCCCCTTTTTTTCAGTATATCTGTGTCTTTGGGGTAAATACCCAGTAGTGCAATTGCTGAGTCATAGGGTATATCTGTTTCTAATTTTTTGTTGAACCTTCATTTGGAAAGAAACTTGCCCATATTTACTGAGTTGTGCATGTGGTTGGCCCAGGAGACAAACAGAGATTACCTGTCTTTTTTATGACTTCTATCCTTTTTTAGGATTTTACCTCACTCTGGGGTTGTAGGATCCTCTTGCACGCTCTCTTCACATCTTTGTTTCTCAGGGTGTAGATGAGTGGGTTGAGCAGTGGGGTGATAACACAGTAGAAGAAGGCCATGAATCTGGCCTGGGTGCTATTGGCAGGGGGCTGGAGGTACATGTAGATGGCTGGTCCAAAGTACATGATGACAACCTCCAAGTGGGAGCTGCAGGTGCTGAGGGCCTTGTACCTTCTGTCAGCTGAAGGTAATTTCAACACATCCTTGGCAATGAATGTGTAGGAGACTAGCACAAGCCGAGGAGCCTTCAGTGCAAAAAGGATGGCTCCCACAGCCAGGGACTGGTCATTAGCAGTGGTGTCACCACAGGCCAGCTTGATCAGGACAGGTACTTCGCAGAAGAAGTGGTTGAGTGTATGGTGACCACAGTGGTGGAGCTGGAGAATGAGTGTAGTTTGGAGCATTGAGTTGGCCAGGCCACTGGACCAGGCAGCAGTTGCCAGTTGCAAACACACCCGGGGCCTCATGATGAGAGTGTACTGGAGGGGCCGGCAGATAGCCATGTAGCGATCAAAAGCCTTACCTCCAGTACAGCACATTCAGTGCATCCTGTCCAGTGGAAGAGGTAGGCCTGGGTGATGCGGCCCCAGGAAGCAATGGTCTTCTCTGCCCCCCAGAGGTTGGCCAGCAGCTGGGGCACAATGGTGCGGGTGACACAAAGGTCCAGCACAGAGAGATTGTCCAGGAAGAAGTACATGGGAGTCTGGAGTCTGGGCTCCACTATGCAAAGAAAGATGATGGAGCTGTTCCCCATCAGGATGAGGATGTAAGAGACCAGGACCACTCCAAAGAGGGGCATTTCTTAGCCATGGATAATCTGAGAAGCACAGCAACACAATTGTGCTGGGGAAACTCACATTTTCTCTTTCCATGGTACCCACCATATGTATGGCTGGAAAGAGAGAGACCCAGTTTAGAGGGTTAAGTGTGACTTTTGTATTTTTTAAAAATTTTGGATCTGTACTTTATTTGACACTTATTAAAGCTGTATAAAAACCATGCAGTTTATTTATAATTTTGTACCTTAACTATATTTGAAGACTACACAAAAATTTCACAAAACTTTCTTATATGGAAAGACATGTGAAATAGGAGGCTTTAAAAATTTTTAGGTACAGAATTTTGCAAAGATTATTTTGGTTTCTAGGGTTATGAGCACTAGCTTGAAATAAGACTGACAAAAATGTGCAAATGAGTAGAATTTCAACAAATGAAAAACTACAAATGCTTAGCTAAAAGCTAAAATATCTTGAAATACTATTACATAGCAATGGGAATTTATAAAACAGAAAAAAAGGTTATTTTTAAAAACTCTTTCATGAATAACAGGCTCTCAGTAATATTCTATAAAAACATTCAGGAATAAAGTTTCTCAAATTCTGTTCATCATCAAAATTATGTTTCCAGTAGTGACTGAAGGTGTGATTTGTAAATAATTGCTTATTGTCTTACATGGGAAGTCTCAATGTCCCCCTTTGGGGAGAGGGGGAGAAGAAAATCAATTGTCAAATTTAAATTCAAGTAAAAGATCCTGGTACTGATATCATGAACACAGAGTAGAGTGTTGCAATAATGTACAAGTCCACATACTTTTAATTGTACCTCTAAAATGGAAGTGTAAACTTTAGGTTTGTTCAGTTTAAGATCTCCTATAGGGAAGTGAGTACCTCATCCTTCAAAGTTCAGGAAAATATCAATACGGATTTTTTCTTCTCCAGTGATGACTTTTGTAATTCAATAAACACCATCCTGAAACCTTCAACTATGTTGATGGGATAATCCTCATAATTGTATGAGAAGTTTTTAAAAGATGGGTCTGATTCTGTATAAATACTGCCTTAGGAGTTGGTACTGAAGTAGGGATAGAGCTGGAATATCCTAAATATGATGAGAAACTCTTCTTTGAACCCAGTCAGCCCAAGTCTTTGTGACATCCTTCACTCATGTCATAAAGAACGTGGCATGCAATCTTTTGAATCTGGCATATTTCTTTCAAAAAAAATAAAGGAAACACTATCTGTTTTTTTTTTTTCCAGTCCAGTTAGGTTAATTTTCTCTGTCCTCAACTCTGTTGTTGTATAGTGTAGTGGTTGAGTGCAGTGAGTGCTGAGCTTGGGTCTCAATCACTTGTGACATGAACAGTCAACCTCTCCACATTTTGATTTCCTCATTTAAAAAGTGAGAATAAAAATAGTCCTTATCTTACATGGTTATTTGAAAAACTTAAAAGAATTTTTCTATAAATCTGCCTCTATCTATCTATCTATCATCTATTTATCATGTATCTATCATCTATCATCTATCTATCTATCATTTATCTATCATCTATCTATCATCTATCTATCATCTATTTATCTATCATCTATCAATCATCTATCATCTATCTATCGTCTCTCTCTATCTCTATCATCTATCATCTACCTATCTATCTATCATTATCTAACATCTATCATCTATCTATCTATCTATCATCTATCTATCTATCTATCATCTATCATCTATCTATCATCTACCTATATCTATCATTATCTATCATCTGTCTATCTATCAATCATCTATCATCTATCTATCTATCTATCTATCATCTGTCATCTATCATCTATTTATCTATTATCTATCAATCATCTATCATCTATCTATCATCTATCTATCTATCAACTATCTATCCACCATCATCTGTCAATCCAATATCTACCATCTCTTTCTCATCATCATCATCTATCACACAATGAGGCCTATTTAAGTGTTAGCTACTGTTATAGAACCTCCGTCTATATCTATGCCTACTCTTCCTTTCACTCTCTTCTCGCTCCTGTTTTCCCTTCTCCTCTTAGTCTCTCTCTCATTCTCTGTGTGTGTCTGTCTCTCCCTTCCCACATCTCTGTTTCTCTCTTAGTCCATTCATAAAATGCACTGCTCTCATGCCATCAAGAATGGAGCATGTAATCCTTTGAATGTGGCACATTTCTCTCATAAAAGCCTTTAAAGGAACCACTGCATCATGTTTCCTTTTAGTCCAGTCCAGTTAAGGACCCGTGGATACTTGGATAGACAAGATAGAGGTTGGAGGGCAATCATAGCTATGTAACAGTACAGACTTTTTCTCCGGGGAAGAGGCCATCAGCTCCTTTTTTGTTTGTTTTGTGCAACTGTGTTCCTTTTGTCTTTCGTCTAACTCTGGTCTTCCTAATTTTCACTAATTTTATTTTCTCCTTATTCTTTCATTTATCTCTCCCTTATTTCATCTTTTCCTTCTTTTCAACTCATCTTTTAAATTTTCCTCTGTGTTCCCCCACATTCTTTCCAAAATGGCATCATCTCTGATCTTATTTGTAGGCTGTGAATTTTCAAGATGCATTATTTCATTTTCCTCTCAAATCCCTACCTCTTACAAGACATTTCTTTTTTCTGGAATGTTCTAATATCCGAAATTTAGCACCTCTCAAATTCAGCCCACCATTACTCAGTTGTGAGGTGAACTTCCCCCTCAATTCCTTTATCCAATGCCATCATGATTGTTTTACCCTTCGACAAATTACAGTTATCCCCAGGATAGGTCAGAGAGGCAGGTACAGTGTAGTGTAGCTCAAAAGCCCTGAGTGCCATGTTGCTCCAGTACTTTCCTCTCACTAATCTGTTTCTACTTCTCAAACTACCTAATTTTTATTTTATAGTGCAAAATTTTACTAGGATGACTCATGAAACAGAGTTGTCACATAACAATTGCAAGTATTATAGAAGTTTATTAGAATAATTCTTTTTGGAAGATTCATGACCTTTTTTGGAAATAGGATAAATTAGATTGGAGAGGGGAAGAGACCCTGAAAAAGGTGGATAGATTCCTTCTTCTGAAGTCAAAGTTTGGGTGATTGTCTTTAGTTGTATCCTGAATTAATCTTTCTTTCCTTGTGGTTCCAGCTTTGGTATTTAAATAGGAAATGTCTACCAATGAGTCTTCAGTATTAGTGAAGACCATTGAAACTATTAATAGTGACTACATATTTCTATATATCGGCTTCCTTATTCTACCAGCCCTAGGTTTTATTTATTTATATTTTTAGTTACCATTTGTGTGTGTGTGTGTGTGTGTGTGATGAGAACTTTTAAGATCTATCCTCTTGGAAAGTTTCAAGTATATAATTGTTAAGTATATATTGTTAAGTATAATCACAATGCTGCATATCACAACCCCAAAACTTACTCATCTTCTAAATGGAAATTTGTACTTTTTGACCAACATCTCCCCATTTTCCCCATCCCCAGCTCCTGGATGCCACCATTCTACTCCCTGTTACAACAAGTTTCATTTTGTAAAGTAAGATAATACAGTAATTTTCTTTGGCAAATTTCACTGAGCATAATGCCTTCAAGTTTCATCTATGTTGTCACAAATGGCGGGATTTTCTTTTGTTGGCTGAATAATATTCCATTATATTATTTTTTTTTACAAAAGTATACATATATATGAATTTATACATAACATATGATTTATATCACATTTTCTTTATCCATTCATCTGTCGATGGACATCTTGGCTCTTTCCACAGTTTGGCTATTGTGGACATGGCTGCTATAAACATCGG